AAAAGTGCATATTTTGATGAGTCGAATGCGAAAAAGTCAGTAGTGATAAAGCGTGAATAGGATAAGACGATAAAGGGTAGATAGATGGGTCAGGGCCGAAAGTAGAGTGATAGTGCAACCTTTTTTGACAGAACGTTGGTCGATAGATTTACTTAACCCGTCTCTGACGGGTTCATAGCTTCGTGCAGAGAATGGCAACATTTACTGATGATGCTGGCGAATCGTCTTAGAATTTACCAAGTCCACCGTCTGGTGCTGGGATTTCTGATAACTACTATGGGTAGGACTTCGTACCAGATGTGTTCTACTAAGTCCCCCTGACAATAAGACCAATTTGCGAAAATGAGGTCAACCCACTTCTATAAATCAAAAAGAGGCTGCGACTATACCTAGGGCTACAATATTCTTGCCTTCATATCTTCGATTAACCACATATAATTAATCATGATTTGATGTTTATTCACATTTAATCTGATGCTAAATTTCTTCATATTAGCCTAGGCCCATCTACAAGCTTAAGCGACAACAGGTTTCTCTCAATCGCATCAAAACTTCCTTCCATTTTTATGTTAGCCTGGTCTCTAGCATTTTGGTCTGTTTACTATTCTGGTTGCCTTCTATTTTGGATCGCTTTATGCTACAAATATCAATGATATGAGCGAATATAAAACAAGAATATGCGTGAAAATACTTCTTTTCAAGGGTATCTTCGTAGACATGTATTTGCGTGTAAGAATGCAGCTTTCAGGCAAATTTCCGAGGCCTATTTGATTGTTAGACATTGTAGAAGATTTTTATGTTTAACTCTCGTCAACAGTTCTTGCTAGATGGCGTTAAGTTGTCTCGAAAGAAGGGGTGAAAAGCGATCTACAACTCCGTCAAGTGTGTCGGCAGGACACATCATTTGGACCAATTGAGTCATGACATGGCTTAAAGTAGAAAGATCTATACTATCAGGATCTCAGTTTCCCTAAAAATTCGGAATCCATATATATATATATATGGCTTGTAAATAACGAATCTTTTCCATGCATCGGGTTATAGAGATGCCTGGCTTGAGCGTGGCAGCAACAGAAAGAACAGACAATTCAGCACTATTGCAGACCTAGCGGAAGCTTGAAAAAGGTATTTTAGCAAGCATTAATATGAATGAGCGTAACGCCTTTTCTGTCAAGTCAGATGAGGGATGGGCAAAAGGTGTAATAGGAAAGTCATGTTAGTTGCGCTGAGCCAGACACTTCCCGCCTGCATCTTGAACCCTTATCAGGGGACTGACGCGTGATTGTGAGTGTGCGCTGTAGGTGCAACAAGTTAACAAATAGAATAGCTTTCATGCATATATATATATATGTATATATATATATATATATATATGATTGTATATACATACACTTTATGCATTAGTTTTTGCAGCCAACCGGAAGAAATACAACTTATTTTGTACAGGCTCTCCGAGACGCGCCGTATGACCTGGACAGTGGTTTGCATCGTTATTTTACAAAAATAGCTCCAAATGTAGCCGCCAAGACGAGACAGGAGGATTCACTTGCGAATTCTGGCGGATTTGGCAACAGTGTGCTGGTGGCAGTGCAAATTGTCTGGTCCACTCGTAGGGCCGAAAGTGCGAGTGGTTGCGGGCCATAAGGTCAAAACAAGGCTTTTGGTTGCATCTACAAAAATTCGCCCGATTTGCAGGCAATCTCCAATCGGCATCCAAAACTCTGTAACCATGGGCGGCTCAGACAAAACTGCCTTCTCGAATGGCATGATAGGCGTATCTGCCAGTGGTACAGGCGTCGTAGGCGACGGACGACTGTGGCGTCACGTCCGGTTTTCCAACTCCGGCGCTTCTCGCCTCAAGCCATCTGGCCGTGTCCGGTCGGCAGTCCGTCCAGCCCCTGCTCGTCTCGGCCGCCCGGCCCGCCAACAGGTCGCCGGCCTTGCTGTGGAAGCCGGCCAGCCGGAGTCGTCCGTCTTTGCTCGCCTCCACAGCACCATCGGCATCAGAGTCGCTTCTGCCCTCGTTGCCCACTTGGCTATTGGCCGTCTTCAACATGCCGCCCGACTGTCCGGGCCTGTGGAGCGTCACACAGCGCCGGTACCACCGAGACGCTGGGGCCTCGGCCGCCTCGGTTGCCTCGGTCAGAGTCCCGCCAACTGGACGACTGGAATCGGCCGCCTCCGATTCCCCCTCTTCCATTTCGCCTCTGTGATACTGTTGGCCCCCAACCGGCCGTTTGGCAGACGCTCCTGAGGGTGGTTTCTGCCTGCCCAGTTCGACATTACCCAACGGCAGAGTCGGTACTGTTGCTGCCACTTGTGGGGGTGGTGGTGGTTGTGGTAGTGGTGGAGGTGGTGGCGGCCCGGCGCCTCCGCAGGCGTACTGGCAGACCCAGGGCTCGTTTGTCTGGCGCCTCGGAGACAGCGCTCCCGTCTCTAAGGCCATTGGGCCTCTGAATCGCCCGCGGCCCAGCGTGTCCAGGCTCTGGTAGTCAGGCGAGGGAGCCCGGACCGTGGGCAAATGTTCGAAATAGTCATCTGTAAAAGGAGGAGAATCAGTGTGGAGCAATGTTAGACTGGACCTCGAGTCTGCCTATAGAGTCGAGAAGCTATAAACGTCTGGATTTGATGCAAATTATAGTGAAGATGAGACAGGGAACCGGGGCAACAAGGAGCGAAGGGCGGTTGTTGGCGCAGGATGCACTAACCGGAACATGCACAATGTATGGGGCTCGCAAAAACGCCTATTCATATAATGGGTTAACTGGGTGCGGATAGTACATGCACTTTGGGCAAAGTTATACAATTTGACAGTTTTCGGTGAGGATCAGGCTGGAGAGAATACTAGCCTCTTGCCAGCGGTTCGATCGAAGGATTTCAAGGCCAAAAGGATCGCAGGCATCTTTTGTTGTATGCCATTTGTTCGGCCTCGTCTTCCCAACTTGATCGTGTTATCGGACTGGCTTCGGAGAAAGTACGTGTCCGGCCCCGCCTCTATGCAAGTCATGATGAGGCTCAGCCTCGAACCATTGTCTTGGCATATGCCCAGATGATTCGCTTCTCTGGATAGTTTGATCTGACTCAAGTATTAATAAAAGTGGTTTTACCTCGTTTTCGAAACTCCAAGGGTAACTGGGTTTAGCCGAATCTCCTAAGATGATATTGTTGGGGGACGTTCGTTTCATATGAAAGTACACCATGAAGATATTCAGAGGTCGATCTCACCAGAAGATTACGGCTGATTCTCATAAGGCTTTTGTAATCATTCTGATTTAGGGCCAGTATTGCTTATATACACTAATGAATAGACACACGGACACACACACACACACAAGTAAAAGTTCCATTACTAATATAAATGATAACCAATATGTATCAATCGACGTCTATAGTTATTGATGTTTTTGTCCTGAGTATATATAAGAAGTAAAATAGATTGTTAGGGGGACCTTCATTTCGAATGAAAGTACATGAAGAAGAGATTCGTTTTTCGATCTCACAAGATGAGAACGGATGAAAATCGTTGTAGGGCAGCCGTTTAGCTTTTATATTATATCCATGTTGACGCAGTCCACGAGTATTCCTCCTTCGTTTCGGGTGAAAACGTGCTGAGCTTTCGTCCATCAT